CGATTAGAATGATTTTTTTTTTCATATATTTTCATTCTCAATAGGTGTTGAATTCCTTTCTTTATTTGATCGTATTTAAATTAAGATAAGACAAATAAAAAAATGAATATTGTTTATGAATTTTTTTTTAGATATTTTGTTTTTTTTCTTGATTCTTAAAAAAAAAAAAAGAATTTTTTTTTAAATTTTACAAATTTTTTTTTTAAATTTAAATTTTTTTTAAAACATTAATAATAAATATATCATAAATTTGTTTCAAAAAATATAAAAATATATTCATATACACACATAAATAAATTCACTCAAATATAAATATAAATATAAAAATAAATATAAATATAAATAAATATAAAATATAAATTATTCTCAATTCTTTAATAATAAAAAACAATAAATTTAAATTTTTATAAATAGATTTAAACAGATAAATAAAATAAATAAATAAATAAAATAAAATAAAATAAAATAAATAAGGAAGAAAGAAAAAGTATTTAAAAAATTTTTTTTTTAGTTTTTGTAAGAAATTTAAAATACAGATTAATTACACACATAAATACTCTTGTTTATAAACAACAACAAAATTAAATAACAACAATATTAAATATTAACTACATCATTTACTATTTTAACTGAATCATCAACATAATAAATATAGTTTTAACATCAAATGTTTGTTGTGAATATGTGTAGTTGTGTATTGTTATCTTCATATTAATAAATTGTTATTATTGTAAAATGATATCATATTTGTAATAACTTAATGTGGGGGTAGAGTTATTAATAAAAGTAATGCGTCATTGTGATTTTTGAAAATAAAATAGTTTTGTTACACTGTTATTTGTTATATCAGCTTATTTTTTAAAAAAACATCATAGTTTCACAATATTTTTTTATCAATCTTTAAATTAAAATTAAATAAAAAAATAGTTTTTTTTTAATCATTATTTAGATAATATCTAAAATCTTTAATGAAAAAAATAAAATAATCAATAAATTATATTTAGTATTCAATGTCACACACCACACACGCACACTCATATTTACTCACTCATAAGAGTTCTTTTTTTTTTTTTTCTTTTTTTTTTTTTTTTTCAAGCACACCCAAACACCCACTTTTATTTATTAAATACCTCTATTGAGGGTCTATGGGCTTTTTGGGGGCATACACTACACAAGAAGAATTAGATTATGTACACCCTAGATAAAAATAACTTACTACCCACATTACCATTTTTTTTTTCTATTTTATTATTTTTATTTTTTTTTTCTATTTTATTTTTTTATTAAACTCATATTTTATTCATATTTTTTTTTTTTTTTTTTTTTTTTTTTTTTTTTTTTAAAAATTAAAAATCATTTTTATTACATACTTTTATAAGAGAAAAAAATAACAAATAGTTTAACAAAATAATAATAATAAATAATACAAAAAAAAAAAAAGATTTTCAATACCTTCAATATAAATAAAAAAAAATCTTTTTAAAAAAATAGTAATAATAGTATTTTATTTGTTAGGTAGTTTTTTTAATTAAACAATTTATATTATAGGTGTCAAGAAATGTGAAATACCACAATCCATAATAATAATAGAGTTACAAATATAATAACAATAATAAAAATAATAGTAATACACTAATAATAACTTTATTTTTAAAAAACCAAGATTGATTAATTGTTGTTATTTATTTTTATTTTATCTTAAATTTTTAATTTCAAAAAAAATAATAAAATAACACACTTAAAATACCACGCACATATACACAGACACACTAACACACATAGTTATATTTTCTAGCTCTTTACTTTGTTTGTCCCACATGTACATAGACATACCACCCAATTATTTATTTTTTTAAACAAATAAAGTGGAGTATTGTTCTTCTTTTTTTTCTTTTTTTTCTTTATTTCTTTTTTTAAATTTATAGTACCAACACGAAATTGTGAATTCTCAATCTTTTTTTATTTTTTTTTTTTATTTTATTTTGTTTTTTTTTTTTTTTAAAAGATTAACAAGATTAGTTCATATAATTTTTATTTCATAATAATTAATTTTTTTTTTTAATAATCTAAATTTACAACTTATAGAATTTTAGAATTATAGAATTATAGAGAAAGGAAATAGTATACAAATTTGAAGGGGTGGCAAAAATAGATTGTTTATATATTTTTTTTAATTAAAAAATATATTTATAGGTTCAATTTTGTTGGTTAAAATAATTAAATTAGTTATATAGGGTTGTATTTTTAATAAAGAAAAAAAAAGGAATGTCAATTGGTTCAGTAAAGTTACCATTAAATGTAAATATTAGTTAAATAATTAAAAAACTTTAGCATTTTTAAACTAATAATAGTAACAACAATAACAATAATAATAAATAATAATAAATTTAATAGAATGAAATTGAATTAATTTCAGAAGAAATTGAAAAGGGTCTAAATGATTCAGCCACAATAAGAAAGTTTTTTGAAAAAAGGGCACAAATTGAAGAGGAGTATGCAAAAAATCTCCAAAAACTTTGTAAAGCACAACCACAGCTTTTAAAAATAAATGGAACATCAGAAGCATTTTCAACGATAGTAGAAAGCACCAATCAATATTCAAACCATATTATAACAACTATACAAAAATTTAATCAAGATGTTAATGACCCATTGGTTGGATTTATAAAAGATTTAAGATCCGAATTAAAAACTGTAATTATCATCAATAATATAAATTTTATCATTTTAAGTTTATTTTATACTAATTAGTTTTTTATTATAGTTTTCAAATGATGGTTTAAATTTAGCAAAAGAAAGAAAGGTAGTTTTTGATTCACTAAAAAACTCAAAACAAAATTATGAAAATATGTGTAATAATCCTGAAGCTGATGCCATGAAAATTCAACAAGCAGAGGAAGAGTACAAGGCGCAGGTTCAAGCATGTAATAGTTATCATGTTGCTTTTCACAATGAAAAGTTACCCAAAATTCAAAGTGTAATTATTAGTTCCACAGCGATATAACCAACTTTAGGTTTTTAAAAATTAAAATACTAACTTTAAATTTATTTTTATTATTATTACAGGAAATTATAAGATTAGAAACTGTTAGAATGCAAAAAATGAAAACCAATTTAAAAAAATATATTTCAGAGTTTGAAACTATACCTCAGAAATCACAAAGTTCAATTAAGGAGTCAGAGGAAATGATTAATGCCATCGATACTAAAAGCGATATTCAATTATTCACAAATTTCAATAAAGCAATTAACACTCAAACAGCAGAGTTTGTATTTGAAGCATGTGATCAAAAAGAGAATAAAAAGAAGAAGGGTTGGAGATCAACTATTTCAGTATTAAAGATTGGTGGCTCATTTATGAATGCAAATGCTGGTGGTAATGGTAAAGACGAAGCAGCTAATATTTTAAATAATCCGACCGTATTTAAAGTTCCAATTGAAGAGATTATGTTTAAGCAAAAATCAAAATTTCCAAATCTCGATATTCCTTATGTCTTGGTATTATTAGTTAATTTAATCAAAAAACTCGACGGTATGAAGTCTGAAGGTATTTTTAGAATTCCAGGCCACAACAGCGAAGTAGCACAATTAAAGAAATTACTTAATGAGGGTGAATATACTTTTCCAACTGACCTTTATAGCATTCATCCATTAGCATCCCTATTAAAATTATGGTTCAGAGAAATGCCACAAGCACTAATTCCAGATCATTTTTATCAAAAGTCATTGGATTGCCATACAATTGAAGATTTTATTATTTTCTTCAAATTCCTTCCAGCTACCAACCAAAAGATTATAACCTATCTCTCCAAATTTTTAAATGAATTGGTTTTACCAGAAAATGCTGCGCATACTAAAATGGGTCTAGAGAATGTTGCTATTATTTTTGCACCATCTTTCCTTCGTTGTAATGATCCAGATTTAATTTTAGCAAATGTAGATAAAGAAAAGACATTTATTAAAATTATTATTGAGGGCTATAATAGTTTATCTGAAATTTGTCCAATTCAATTGGATGATGTCGAATCAAAGATTCAAATTCCTTCATCATCACCAAGAGGTACTTCATCAGCATTGGGTGATACTTCATCATCATCATCATCACCAAATCCTACTTTGGCTTCATCATCATCATCACCACCACATCAACCATCACCTTCCGTCACACCACAACTCGTACCACAAAGAGAACAATCTTCACCACAACAATTCAATAATATTAGTATTGGTATTACTTCAAATTCATCCCCTTCACTTGGTTACCAACCACCACCACCATTACAATCTATTTCATCAAATTCTACAGGCTCAATACATTCAAACCATAGTTCATTTACTCCCCCTCCATTACAATATACACAATCATCAACTCATCTTCCCCCAATCCAATTATTACCTAATTTTAAAAACTTAAAGAAGGAAGATCTTAAATCCAAAGAAAAACCTGAAAAAATTGAAAAAGTTGAAAAAATTGAAAAAGATGAAGAACCTGAAAATGATAAAAAGAAAGGTCACAAAAAATCATCATCATCATCTCCAAGCTCATCAAGTTTATCTCTTGGTATATTAGGTAAAAAGGATAAAGATAAAGATAAAGAAAAAGAAAAAGAAAAGGAAAAAGAAAAAGAAAAAGAAAAGGAAAAGGAAAAAGAAAAAGAAGTAGTTTCAAGTGAAAAGACACCAGAAAGAACACCAGTACCATTGCCAGGTTCATCAAATCCAAACCGTATGTCATTAATATTTAACCAACAAATTACTCAGCAATTACAACAACAAATTCAACAACAACAATTACAACAGCAAACAAGTAGTACTGGTTCTGTAGGTGCCCCATTATCACCACCATCAATGTCACCAAGTATGATAAGAAGAACAGTTAAACCAAACCTTCCACCACTTCATGCTAATTCTTCTCCACCACTTGTCTCGATGAAAGCTGGTGATGAATCTTCTCCATCAAAATTAACAAGAGTTCCAATAGCAGAGTTCCAAAAGTTACAATTAAAAGAAATATCTAGCAGCGCACCAAGTACACCAACTTCACCACCATCATCATCATTTGATCCAAACCAACCACCATCATATTTACCTCCACAACCACCCTCAATTAAAGATTCTGTAGCACCAACATCATGCCCATCCCCAACCCCAACCTCAGGAAAAAGTTTCTTGAATAGATTACCACCACCACCTTCACAAAATTAATTATTAAATTAATTAATTATATATAATATAGACTGTATTTTTAGAATAGTTAAAAATTTCAAATGTAATTATATAATAAAGAATAATATATATACTTTTTTTTTTTTATTAATAAAAAAAAAAATAAATAGACAATTGTAATAATAAAATACATATCCAGATTAAATAGCTTACGTAGTTTAATAAATAAATAGTTCAATTATTTTTATAATTTATAAAAATAAAATTACAAAAACTTTTTTTTTTTTTTTTTAAAAAAGATAAAATAAATAATAATATATTATTTGTTTTGTTTTTATTTATTTTTAAAAGACAAAATACCCTTTTGTCTTAAAGGAAAAGTGGTGGAGATGTGCAATCAATGTCTTGATTTTCAGCGTATTTAAGATAATAACAATACCATTGTGCGGCCCATTGATGGTTAATCATAATTCTACGACCAGCAACACTATAATCCCATTCCATGGCTTGTTTAAATGAGTAATTGAGATACTTCATTGCATAGCTTGCAAACACTTCACCAGTTCTATCACAACCGCATTCACTATAGTTTATAAATAATAAAAAAGAAATAAGTATTTATAAAAAAAAAAAAAAAAAATTTTAAATATGATAAGAAAATAATATTTACCAATGAATATATAATACCCACTGGTAAATCGTGTTGAGTATTTAAAATTTCATGGTAGAATGGAATTCTATCTGGTAAATTGTCGTGTTGCCCAACTTGAAAGATTTACAGCCCCACTTTTCTAACTCTTTTTCTGGTACAAAATTTGGGTCAATTAAATCACCTAATGTGATGTTGGTATTAAATTGACCATATTCTGGGTTTGCATTAAAGAATGTTTTGCTCTAGTTCGATATCTGGTACTCCGCTCTTGAAACCATAGATTAATTTGATATCTATAATAACAAATGATGGTCGTAATTTGACACCTAAGCTATAGCTGTTATTGACTAAACAATTGATTAATTCTTCGTATGCAAAGTAGTTGGTTCCATTGATATTGACCTTTGGTTCATTTCCTCTAAATATATAATTTACATTCCCGTTTGGTAGTGGCTCTGTTTTATCAACTAAATGAACTTTTCTATATTCTAAATAGTCTGCATTGGAGATATAAATAGTACTGCATAAAATAATACAAATTAATAATAATATTGATTTCATTGTTTTTTTTCGAACTATAATATAATATTTTATTTATAATAAAATACAAATAGTAATAATATAGTTATAATTGTGTATAATTAAATTTAATATGATGAGAAAAAAAATAAGTGGGTGAAATTTAAATAAAAAATAATTTTTAAAAAAAAATTTTGTGAAAACAAAATAATAAATTGGAAAAAAAATAAAATAAATAAAATTTTATAAAAAAAATAAAAAAAAAGATATTTAGTTTTGGGATTATAGTTTTTAAAAAAATAGTTTTATTCTTTTTCGAGATAAAATTTATTTCTTTTTAGAGTATCGCCCAAGGATGCGGAATCGCCATAAACATCTTTATTGATTTGACTGTGAAATAGATAATAAAAAAAAAAGTTAATATGAATTTGATTAAAATTTATTATTATAGATTATACATACTCAAAGAAAGTTCTTCCTCTTTCTTCTACTGATTTTGGTACAAAGTCTTTTTCATTTTCTAAATCTGATTTGATTTTTTTCGATCTTTCATCCTCTCTTTCTGTACCACTTTTTTTCATTTCTTCTAGCTTTCTTCTTCTTTCTTCTTCTTTATCAGTAACGTTTTTATTGGATGGTTTCTCTTCATATTCTTGACGATCTCTCTTTTTGAATGGTGATGGTCTATCATTATGATCCCTGTCCCTGTATCTACTTTCTCTATCACTATAATCCCTTCTATCGTCATTATATGGTCTGGTATCTCTTCTGTCACTGTGGTCTCTATCTCTATATCTGTTTTCTCTTTCTCTTTCTTCCCTTTCTCTATTATGGCTTCTTTCTCTATCTCTTTCATCATATCTTGAGTCTCTTCTTTCGTTGTGATCCCTATCTCTGTACCTGCTTTCTCTATCTCTATTATAATCTCTATCTCTGTCATTATCCCTATATCTAGATTCTCTGTCTCTATTGTAGTCTCTCTCATGATCTCTTCTTCTTTCTCTATCTTCGTCATCTCTTCTTCTTTCTCGATCACCGTCTGTATCTCTTCTTCTTTCTCTATCTTCGTCATCCCTTCTTCTTTCTCTATCTTCGTCATCTCTTCTTCTTTCTCTATCTTCACCATCCTTTCTTTTTTCTCGGTCACCATCAGTATCTCTTCTTGTTTCTCTTTCTTTATAGTGTTCATCCCGTTCTTTTTCTTTCTTTCTTTCTTTTTCTTTTCTTTTTTTTTCTTTCTTTTCTTTTTTATATTCATCATTACTGCTGTCACTGATTGATTCGCCTCTTTCTTCTCTTTCTTTTCTTTTTTTTTCTTTTTTTTCTTTCTTTTTTAATTTCTTTAAAATTTTTTCTGATTGTTTCTTCTCTTTTTCTAATTTTTTCATTTGTATTGGATTGTTCATAATTTTATCAAGCTGTTCTTGTTTTTTTCTTTCAATGATTAATAATGGGTCCTCTCTAACTAAACTTTTAATATCTTGAGGGTTTGTAGCTGTGGTTTTGTTCAAAAACAATGCACCTGGAACATTGGCTGCTTTTTTTAATTCGTCATCATTTGAATCATCAATCTTTTTGCCCATTAAATATTCATCTACAGTTTCTGTTTTTTTTAATGATAATTGAAATGCTCCTTCATACATCCAATCCATACCGCTTGATTTTCTAAATTATATAGTTAAAATGAAAATAATAAATATTAGTATTTTTTTTTGATTTTTTAATATTTTAATTATTTGTAACTTACTTTCCTGAAGAGGCCTCTGCAAATTGATTTTTTAAATCTCTAATTTGCTCTTCTTCCATCTTCTCCCTTTTTAATTGTTCAATTTTCTTTATTTCTGCTTCTTTTTCTTGTTCGGCTTTCCATACTTTCTCTTGATTTTTTAAAGATGAAACATGCCAACTCTTCTTGGATAAAAAATTTGTTGATTTGCTCATTTTGGGTATATATATATATATTTGGTTTATTTATTATTACAATCTTTTATTATATGCAACTGGTTTTAAAATAAATAAAAAAATAAAAAAAAATATTTAAAAAATTTATTTAATTTAAAAATAAAATTTTAAAAAAAAAATAATATTTTTGAGGTTATTTGGGAAATTTTGTCAAACAAATATTATTATTATTATTATTTTATTTTATTACGGTTATTTTATTACTATTATTTTATTATTACTATTATTTTTTATTGTTATTGTTATTATAATATTATAAAAGCAAAGAAATAAAAAATTATTTATATAAAAATTTAATATTGGTTTTTTTTTAAATAAAATATACAAATAATTCCTTTTATTTCAATGAACAAACAAATAAAGAGAAAGGTGTGTTTTTATTTTGGAGCGGAATTTTTTTTTTTTTTCCAAAAGAAAAAAAAAAAAAAAAAAAAAAAAAAAAAACCAATAAAAAAATCATTTTTTTTTTAATTTTTTTTTAAAAAAATTTCTTTTTAAATTTTTCATTTTTTTTTTTTTTTTTTTTCATAATTGTATAAATTAAATAATAATGTTATCAAGAACTTCTAAATTATTCTCAACATTAAAAAAATGTAACGGTTTTGCACGTCGTTCATACGGTGCTGCTGTTAAAAGTGCTGGTGGTGCTTATCCAGATACTCCAGGACCAGATGCTGAAATTGTTGAAGTCGAAATCAACTACGGTGACGCAATTTATTCATATAAACATCAAAATTTTGTTATGGATCCAAATGATATCAACGAAGCAGTTGAACATATGCAAACATTAATTCACGCCAAAACTCATCATCATCATAATCATGGTCCAAATTGTAACCATGACCACGATCATGATCACCACGATGATCATCACCACCACGTTGATCCAAACGAAATTGAAGATGTCATGCCAAGAGGTTTCTTCTTAAACAAACCAGTATGTTACTAAAACTATAATTACTTTTGTTATAAATTCAAAATTAAAAATGACGAAAAAGAACCATCACTTTACAGCAATCAACCAATTATAGATATTAATAACCCAACAACAACAACAATAGTAATAGAAATAACAAAATACAAATAATGACCACAATAATAACCTTTATTTTTTTATTTTTTAAAGCCAGGTCTTCCATTCCCAATCCCAGTCTCTCTTTTCGTTTTAGCTTTAGCTGGTCCAGTTATTGCTGGTATGATTGCAAGTTATGTTTTTGATAAAGAAGAAAAAGAAGAAATGGATAGATATAAAGAAAATTATTATAGAGAAAACCCAGAATTTAAAGAACTTGTTGATAAATTAACTAAAAAAGAATACCCATTATCACATTAAAATAATATAAACAATATAAATAATATAAATAGCATCAAAATAAACAATAAGTAATTATAGATATAAATTTAAATCAAGATCAAGATAAAATTATTTTTAAAAAAAATGGTTTATCTCACAGGTTATTATTTATAAATAAAAATTAAACAAGAATGTAATAAAAAATTTCGATTAAAAAAAACCAAAAAAAAAAAAAAGATACAATAAAAAATATAAAATATAGAAATTAAAAAAAAAAAAAGGTATGGGTTTGTTTATGTAGTTTAGGTATTATTTTTTTATTTTTTATTTTTAAATTCGAGGTCGTGGATGCTACTTTTACATTTATAATAAATTAAAAATATTGACATTGATAATCCAAAAAATAGATTGATTTCGTATAAAATGAAAGAAAGACCAAAATTAAATAATAAAACGCCTGTTCTATCTAAAAGGCTAAATAATATTTAATAAAAGAATTAATATTTACTCTCTTATTATATTTTACAATAGAACTTACTAATCTTTTTCAAATTTAAATTCGGTGAATGTATTGATTATCGATGATACCATTTTGAAATAGCTGATTTTTTGATAAAAAAGATTTTGTGTATAAAGAGTATAATAGATTCTTGTGAAAATATTTAATTTTGTATTTATTTTATCGAGTTTGTTTGAAAAAATTGATATTGAACTTAAAATAAATGATATTAATAGTTTCCATATCAAATATTTTTCTATATTTCTATTATAAAAAAAATATAAAAAACTTGAAAGGTAAGTTCTGGTTAAACTATAGAACATTATTTTTATTTTAAATGATTTATTATTATTAATATTATAGTTATTATTATTATTATTATTATTATTGTTTTGATTTTGATTATTGCATTCTTTATAATAAAAGCACCAACATATACTTTTCAAAGAGTATAAAGATATTGAAACTAATTCATTTTTGATTGGAGTTGCTATGATAATAAAAGATACAATATTCTTTTTTTTTTTTTTTTTTTTTAATACTTTTTTTTTTTATAAATATTATTAAATTTAAATTATTTACTTACAAATATTGTTAAAAATAATAGATTATAGTATTGGGAAAATTTTAAATATATGTTATTGTTTTTTTTTAAGATAAGAGAAATTCTTTTATTTTTTATTTGGTTTTTTTGTAAAGTGATGGTTGAGGTTGCTTTATTATATTTTTTTTTTTTATTTATTTCTATAAGTTCTACATTGTGGGAGTTATAATTTATCAAAGACATTTATATAGATATATAAATATAATGTTTATTATTTAAGATCATAGTTTTATTAGAGATTTTTAAAAATTTCTTTTTTTTTTATTTATTTTTTTATGCTTTTTAAATTTAAAAATATGTATTTTAAAGTCTTGATTTGTAAAGTTGATATTTTTAATAATGTAAAAACAAAAAATTAATATTTTTTAAAGAAAATAAAATTTAAAAAATAAAATTATTAATAAAATTAAAAATAAAATCTTTTTTTATTTATTTTATTACATTCAGTATTAATACCCCTATCATTCTTTATTGCCATCTAATAAACAATCCAATGATTTCATATAAATTCAATTCTATTTTTATTATTGTTTTTATATTTTATAATAATTATTTTATTAATTTTTAAAAATACACTAATAATGTTTTGTGGGTGTGGGGGTGTGGGTATTTATATTTATATAATTATTAAATGTTTTGTATAGAATAGAGTGTGTGGTAAATAGTGTTGTAATATAATATTATTTCTTTTACATATTGTAAATTATAATTATATATTAAATATAAATTTCTATTTCCATTATAAAAAATTCTATTTTAGATAAATAAATTAGTTTTTATAAATAAAATTAATTTATTTTAAATATTATTTTTTAAATAATTTTTTTTTAAAATAATTTTTTTTTAAAATAATTTTTTTTTTCAAATTTTTTATTTTTTATAATTTTATAAAAAATGCAATAAACAACTTCAAATGAATAAGTTATCTAGTTCAACAGCCCATAAAAAATTAATAAAAAAATGAAATTATAGAAATTCCCCCTACCTTCAAAATAAAGTAATTTTATTTTAAATTTAAATAAAACAATATTTAAAATTAAAAAAAAATAATACATCATTTAAACAACACTATTATTGCAATAACAATAATAAAATAAATAATATTAATTAGTAATAAAGTAAAATGTTTAGACAGGAATTAGATTGCCAGAGGAATGAAGATGACAAAATGGAGTTTATTTGTGAACTTCTAAACCCATTAATAGGTTTGCCACAGAATAATCAATATTTTTTATCTGGTATATTTTCTGTAAGTTTTTTTTTTTTAAAATAATAGGTTATAATGTAAACTAATTTTTTTAAATTTTATTTTAAAAAAGGGATTTTGGGGTCAATTATTCGAAGGTGAAGATAATAAATATATTAATAAAATAGAATTTGAAAAATTTTTTAGAGGTTTATATCAAGATTTGGAAAGAATTGTAAATGAAAAAGCAAGTGAAAAATTAATTTCATTTTGTATAGATAAATTACAGGGTATACATTCAATAGGAAATCATTACTGTGATTTATTAAAGATTTGGGAAATAAGATATGGTGGGGGTATCATGGACTCAAGATCAATATTATCAAATACATCATGTAAAACCCCCGAGTATGATAGCTATTCAAGTTTAAATAATGATGAACTAAAAAGCAGCATTAGAAACTATTTTAATAAACTTTCGAAGGGGCTTGAGGAATGTATTGCTTTTTTCTCAAATAAAGAATACTCTATGCATTCGTCAAAACTATTGGTTGTGGTGATGGCAATTTATTGCTCTCTGACTCTAGATTGTATTCATAATTCAAATTCATGGGATTTATATTCAGAGTATGTATAAATTATTATTTTATTATTTTCTATGATTAGAATCAATGTTAATACTAATTCATTAATAGAAATAGATTAGATAAAAAATTTAATCCAATGGTTTATGCTTTAAGAGATAAAATTAAAGAGTTTCAGTGGTCTCTTGGATACTCTTTAACCCAGTTTACAAAAGAAAGTTATTCAAAATTAAAAGATCTCAACTATACACTTAAAGCTGCAGCAAACATCAACGAGTTAAACATTAACCTTTATGAATATCCAACCAAAACCGTCGGTGCAAATAAAGTCAACAGCGAAAACATTGTAATTGCTGATGATAATAAGGACCATTACAAAATTTTTAAAATTCAACCTAATACACTAGAAATGGCTTTTAATGGTGCTTACTCTTCAGATCATGTGGACTTTGTATCCGGTTTATATTGTTATTTTAGTGGTGATAAATACATACCATGTGATAACGAACAGCAAACAACTCAAAATAACAGAAGCTTTTACAATAAAAGTGATAGTAATAATACAAATGGCAACATTGAAATTTCAAGATTAAATGATAAACCATTGTTAAAAGGAATATTCAAATTAAAAGACGAAAAACAATTTAACAGCTGTATTGTTTCAGTTCACTTTTCAAACTATTATACTTCATCAATTATAAAACCAAATGATAACTACGAATTCACATTTTATGTTGCTGCATCATCATCAAAAACCAACCAGTTTAAATCTTTTGTTGAAAGAGTAGACCTAAAATCCTTTGAATACAAAGATGATGTCCCAAATGAAATCGTAACAAGAACAAAAGCTCTAATTAATAATAGTGACCATAATAGCTCAAACAACAATATTGAAAATAATATAAATACAAATAATCAAAGTTTAAAAAACTTGATCTTTTACGGAACCAAATCTATAGAAGTTAATCCAGGCTTTTTAATGGACAAATTAGTGGTCAAAATAGAAAAATTCACAACAAATATTGTTATTGATAATATTCAAATTAATTTATTAAACAATATTGATAAAAATATTCCATCATTCCCCCAGTTATAAAAAAAAAAAATAAAAATAAAAAAAAATTATACTATTTTTTGGGTTATATTTGGAAGTGTGTGGTTGGGGGGGGATAATCAGTTTTTTTTATTTTTTAAAAAAATTATTGTTCATAATAATTTTTTTTATTGTATTTTATTAATTTATAATATGTTTTAAATATGGGTAAAAACATTATATTTTTTCTATTTATTTATTTCTTATATAATATTAATTTTAAATTTTTAATAAAAATAAAAAAAGAAATTAAAGATCTATCCTTCACAATAAATATAATAAATTCAAAAATATATAAAGATTTTAAAGATAGGGTTTTTAAAAAAATAAAAGATATAGAAAAAGGACCAAATATACAATTAGAAATAGATAGCCAACTTTATTCATATCTCTTTATATTCAGTTTAGTTTTAGATAAAGATGAAACTTTAAAAGGATATAATAAAATAGGAAGATTTTTATTGTTAAAGACTGAGATAAATTTCGAAGTTAAGAACCATTTTTCTAATTTTTTGTATTCATTAGATCAAATAAAAGATAAAATGGATGGAAAAACCAGGGAATATTTCATAGGAATTAGATTTGTAAAAAATTTCGATATTAACAATGAAAAAATATATATAAAATCAAAATGTATTAACCATCTATTAAAAGAAGAAATAACCTACAGAAAAATTTTGGAAATATTCAATCCAGATATAGTTGGAGCAAATAGGGGTAATTTACCATTGGAAAAAATAGAAAGTGAATTCAATTTTTTTAAAAAGACAATATTAGCAATCAATGAAAAAATAGGCATAGAAACAATAATTGATAGAATAAATAATGATTCAAATGGTTTTTTGTTAAAAACAATTGGGAAACTAAATTTAAATGGCTATGCAAAAGATAAAAATTTGTTATATTTATGGTTTTATTTATCGCTTTTAAATAATAAAGAAAAATATATTTATAAAATTAAAGATCACCTTTTAACTCTCTTAAAAGAAAGTGATAAAAAAAATTTATCAGAGGAATTAGATACTTTTAAATATAATTGCAATCTCCTAAGTTGTTATGAAAAAATGGGTAAAAAAATAATTGAATATTCAAATTTGGAAGATAATCAATTTTCAAAATTAAAAAAAAGCATTAAAGAAAAATTTGAAGAATTACATAATAAATTGGAACTATTGAAAAAAGATTTACTTAATTCAAATAACAATAATAACCTAAAGCTTGTAAAAAGAAACATAAAAAATAAAATTTCATTAAAATCTTTTTATACAATTAAAAGTATAAATAGAGGGTTTAATAGCAACTTTATCAATGCAGTAAGTATCATTAACCCTGGTATTAAAATCATTGGAAAAGGTAAATTTTCAAATGTTTATAAAATAAAAAAAGAAAAGGAAACTGTATGTTTAAAATCCATTACTGTGGGTGATGCAAAAAAAGTATCAAATGAAATAGATGTTTTATTTCTATTAGACCAACATCCGCACCATAATATTATTAAATTCAATGATTTTTGGTATGAAGAAATGGAAATATCAAAAAATATTTTCATTGAAATGGAATACAATGAAGACTACACAACACTACATGAATATTTAGAGAACATCCAAAAACCATTAGAATTTGATACCATTTTAAAAATAGAAAGTCAAATTACAGAAGCATTAGAACATATTCATAGTTTTGGGATAGTACACGGTGATTTAAAACCAAAAAATATTTTAATTAATAAAGAACTGCATATTAAATTAATAGATTTTGGTTTATCATTTAAAAGTGGTAATAGAAATTACATAGACTCAAATGATTCTCTATATTCAGCTACTGGGTGCGATGATAAAAGTTTGGACTATTATAGTCTAGGTATTATTATCTATGAAATGTTAACAAATTTTGAAAATCAAGAAGAAAAATATAAACAAATAATTCTTTTAAAAACATATTTATTTGAAGGTAATAATACAAAAATAACTCAGTTATCCACTTTAATTGAAAAAATTTTAGAATTTATATTAAAAAATTAAATAAAATATTTATTTTTATTATATTATTTTTGTATTATCTGTATTTTCATTATTATTATTACTATTATTATTATTGTCACTATTGTTTATTTTTTTTCTTTCGTTTATATAATCAATATTTTTGTGGTTTTCTTTCTTTTTTTCTTTTCTTAATGATTTCTCGCTTGAACCCATTGCTTTCCAAAAAACAATTTGACGAAGATCTTTATGTTGTGGATCGATTTGACCTAAATCATCTTGAGTTAATTTTGATTTATGATGAATTTCATCGTTATAATTAATAGTTTTTTCCATAATAACCAAACGTCTACCCCATCTATTTGTTAAAATTTGAAGACATGATGCTGTGATTAATCTTAAACATGGATGTCTTGGTAAATCTGTTTCTTTATAATCTGGTGAAGTTGGTAACCAATAAACTAATCTACCACCAATGACTAATGTTTTAGCTGCTAATTCTAAAAGATCTGCCATTACATCTGGTACTTTATATTCAATATATTGTGGGACATGACCAACCTTGCACTCTTCTGGAATATCTCTATTTCTACGATTATCTTTATATCCTACCTTTTTAGCACCAGCTCTGACACCATATGGTGGATCTGTAATAATTGAGTCAAACATTGGGATTGTTCTCCATGGTGGACAACTATTATCACATAATACAGTACCCATTAAATGTGATGATAATCCATAATCTGCAAAATTTGTTTCTAAATTGCATTCCTCTGTTTTAATATTATAATTAAAATTAGTAAAATTACTAAAACTATTATTATTTATAGTATATTATTTATAATTACCTTGTTTTCTCATGGCCTTCATATCGATATCACAGCCAACAGTTTGTGCGCCAAAATGTGAACTAACAATAATAAAAGAACCAGTACCAACAAATGGATCTAACATGAAATCACCTTTTTTAACCAAACCCATATTTGCACTAACTAAAGATAACTCTGGGTCCATTGAGGTTGTACCTAAATATTTTCTTTCTTGAAGGTTAAATCTAATAATATCGTCTCTGTTACCTCTTGCAACTCTTTGACCAAAAAAGATAATACGTGGCTCTAAACTGTCATTTCTAACCATTCCTTGTCTTTCAACACCAAAATCAGTCTGAATGGTCCAAACAATGTGATTACTTTCGTCTGTTGGCTTCATTACCACCTTTCCATTATCCCACAATGGTGATTCTGAGATCTTTAACATCATTTCCAACTTTTTTGGTTGTGTATATTTAGTGCCATAACCATCTACTTCGATTCTATAAGTTTTATCAACTAAATAATTTGACTTTATTAAAATTTTAAAAAAAATTTTTTTTAAAAATTAATATTTTATAAATTTATATTTTATTTTTTATATTTATTTATTTAACTTACCAAGAATTTTTTATCATAGTTTGAATTAATATCTTCTAATATACCTTTTAAATTTTTATTTTCAGCCCAAACTGAAATAACTTGTTTAATCAACACTGCTCTTGAACAAATTTTCTTTACATCCTCATCTGATGGAATATTTACATAAAGAAATGGTGACTCTATCGATGGATCTAATGACTCTAATACATCTAAATCATTTGGATTATATTCAACATTGATATTGAATATTTTTGCAACTGATTCTAATTCGAAAATACGAAAACTTGGATGTTGTTGAACAAACTGAATTAAATATTTTGGCATTTTTATTAAAAAAACCTATAAATATATAAATAGGAAGTATATATATATAATTATTTATAAATTTATTTATACAAAATGCTTTAAAAATAAATCTTTTTTTGAAACAAAAACGAAAAAAAATTATTTTAAAAAAAAAAAAAAATTAAAATATTTTTTTTATTATTTTTTTTAATTTTTTAAATTATTATTTTTTTTAATTTTACCATATATTTATATTTTATTAAAAAATATTCTTTTTAACATGTTATGCATATATGTATAAAACATAATAAATAATATATATAAATTTAGCAATGTCTCTCAAGTTTTTAAATTTAAAATCATTTCATCCTGGAAATAAACAAAATCAAAAGAAATTATTTTTAGCAGAAGAAAAAGAAAAAGAGTCAAAGAGAAAAGAGGAAGAAAGGGCAAAAGAGGTACTAGTAGAACAGGAGTTTATAAAAAATAGAGCACTTTTATCTGGTTCAAAATTAGAAGCTGAAAGATCTAAAGTTGGATTCCTATACTCACTACCAGCATGTATAAAAGAAAATGAACTAAAACAACAACGACAACAACAGCAACAAGAAAAAGAAAAAGAACAAGAACAAAAGAACGATAAAAATTTAAAAGATTTTGAAAAGTTCCCAATTTTAGCAAATGCACCAGTGGCAGGTTTGGTTTCTAATGATGTCAAATTAGTACACAAACCATTTGGAATAGAATTAAGAAATGTAAAATGTGCGAGATGCCATAACTGGGGCCATAAATCTGGTGATAGAGAATGCCCACTATTAAATATAAATCCAAATGAATCAAAAAGATTACAATCTGAAGATCCATTAGCAAATTATAATAGTAACAATAACAATAATAATAGTAGTACCAATAATAATCCTGAATACAAACAAAAATTTAGGCTAAATTCAAATGCTCTTAGTCCAAAGAATTATGGTGGTTCAAATAAAAACTATTCAATCGAGGATATGGTGGATATGATGGATAAGAATAGTCATAGCAATGATAATGATGACGATGATAATGACGATGATGAAATAGAAAGAGAGTTTTTAGCCAGCTTAACCAAAAAACAAAGAAAACTACTATTAAAACAGATTAAATTAGAAGAAAAGCAAGCAAAAAAGAAAAAAAGAGAAAGAGAAAGAGAAAGAGAAAGAGAAAGAGAAAGAGATAAATATAAAAGTAGTAATAGTAGTAAAAGTCGCCATTATTCATCAGATTCCGATAGTGACAAAGAAAGGGATCGTAAGAAAAGACATAAAAGCTCCTCTTCCTCAGAAAGATCAAAAAAGAAAAGTAAATCACACGGTGATGATCAATACGAAGAAAGAGTTGTAGATAATATTTAAATAAATAAATATTTGTAAATAAAATTTTGTACATATAAAAAGAAAAATAAAAAAGAAAAGCAAATGGTTTATTATTTGTGTATTGTAATTAATTATTTTATTATTATTATATTGGTGTGTATTTTATATTTTATTTTAAAAAAAAACACACACAATTTGTAAATTTTTAAAAATTAGAAATTATTACGTAATCTTCTAAGACCAATTTTTATATTTATTTTTTAAAGATTTTCTTTAATAATTCATTGTATAAATAGACATATTTTAAATATTGTTATCCAAATTTTTTATTTTTTTTAAATTTAATATTTAATTTTGAAAAAAAAAAAATAAAACAATTATCATTTAAATGTTAATTTTATAATTATTTTCATTTAGATATTTTAATAACAACTTTTTAATAATAAAATTTCAATAAAATATAATGCTAAAATTTGATGATTATTTTCCTTGGAACTATGTGATTGCCTCTGTTGTTTCAATATTTGGAGTTACAGCAATTTATTTTATAATATGTTATATTTTAAAACTATATAAAAATAAAAAAAAACAAATTAAAATAGAACAAATGGCATCAAAATATAGATATACTCCAATAAAAGAAGTACCCGATATTGTTATTACCCCAAATCAGTATTATCAATCTATTCCTATTCAATATTATTCTTTAAATAATGGTTATCCCAATCTTTTAGATGGTTACTATAACAATAAATAAAAATTACAAACAAAAATAAAAAATTCTATCAGTTTATAAATAAAACTCCAAAATAAAAAAATATAATAGATTTAAAAAGTAAAAGAAATTAGATTTAATACGCTCCACTACAAGATCTCCACATTATTTTTTGTTATTTAAATATCCAATTGTATTAATAAATAAATATAATAAAAAAAGCTTTATGGTTTTTTTTTATTTAAATATATTTTATTTTATGATTTTTCATTTACATTTATTTTAAGATTTAAATACAATTCTTAGTTTTGATAAAATTTTCTATAACTATAATTAGAAAAAAAAATTATAATTTTATTATATACAAATATATAATATTGGGTGATTATGGGAATACCAATAACAATTATTATTTGTTATTGTTTTTTTTTGAATAAATTTGGTGTGGTTGTGAATGTGAGTATTATTATTAATATAATTAATTTAATTATTTTGAAAAAAAAAAATTTGTTATTGCTATTTGTTATTTGTTGTTTGTTATTGTAGTTTTTTTGCTAGATGCCTGTTTTACGAGTTATTATTTTTGGTGGTGATTTTTAATTTTTTTTTTTTTTAAATATTATTGATAAATTTAAAAATCTTTAAAGAAATTGGCATATGGATCAACATAGTTTGGTGAAGGTGGATCATCGACCATATTTTCCTCTTCATACAATTCAAAGTTACTCGAATCTCCTTCATGTTTAATGCTGGGGATAAATGGACCTGGATCTTTTCTTTGGTATAATCTTTCCCAGTTGATATCTGAAAACCATCTATGATTTTTAACATCTTGAGCACCGTCCTAATAATAAACAAATAATTAAAATATTAATACAAAGTTTATATTATAATAATAAAATAATACCATATTATAATACTTACTCTAAGAGCACCTAATCTACGAGTTCTGTCGGCAGTTAATAATCTTTTAATTAAGTCTTTAGCATCAACATCGAAACCTAGTGGAAAAGTTATTCTACCAGCCAAAATTTTATTATAAATTGCAAAGGTATCGTCATCATAGAATGGTGGGTAACCAGCCAACATTTCAAAAATTAAAATACCCAAAGCCCACCAATCAACAGCTTTACCATGACCTCTGCTTTGAATAATTTCTGGGGCTAAATACTCTGGAGTACCACAAAGAGTAAAGGTTCTATCTTCGACACGTTTGGCAAAACCAAAATCTGTTATTTTAATATGACCTTCATTATCGATTAAAAGATTCTCTGGTTTTAAATCTCTGTATACTATATTCTGTTTATGGAGAAACTCTAAAGCCAACACAATCTCGGCAGCATAAAATTTGGCTGTTGAATTTGAGAATTTCATAGACTTTCTTAAATGAGTAAAAACTTCACCACCAGCAACATATTCAAATAAAAGATATAGTTTTTTCTCATCTTGAAAAGCTTGATATAAATTTACAATAAAAGGGTGATGGATAGATGAGAGAATAGACTTTTCTGAATTTAAATGCTCGACTTGTTTTAATTGAACCACATAGGCCTTACTTAGACATTTCATGGCATAAAAACTTCCATCTTTAGTATTTTGAATTAAATAAACTTTACCAAAAGTACCTGTACCAATAACACGAATTTGTTTAAACTCTTTTAATCTTTCTCTTGCGTTTTGTGGTGGTGGTAAGAAGAATGTATTAACTCTTGGTTGTTGAGCTTGTTGCTGTTGGGCTTGTTGTAGAGATTGTTGTGATTTTGTTGGGCTTGTTGCTGAGCTTGTTGTTGTGCTTGTTGTTGCTGAGCTTGTATGTTGCTCTTGTAATTTCTTTTGATGTTCAATTTCTTTAGTTGATAATTGGTGTTGTTCATAGATTGGGGAGGTTATATGCTCCTTAACATTTGAAGGTTGGTAGGTTGAGTGAGCATGTAATAAAGATACATGGGGTTTATTGTTGCTGGTTGTTTGCTCTGGTTGTTCTTTTAATGGTTGGTCTTGAGGTATAGTTGGTAAATGTGGTTTATTATTTTCATCTTTATTGAATAAGCTAAAACTACCTGGAACTTTAAGATTACCAAAACTATTAAAATTGCTTGTTGATATATGAAACACTGGTGATTTTTCACGCTCATCCTTTTCATATGTTTTATTATCCCATTTCTCTTCTATATCCATTTTAGTTAACCGGTCGGTAGCGGAAGTTAATGGACTATGTTTATTATTGCTATTATTATTATTACTATTATTGGGGTTGGAATTATTTGATCCAAAGGTATATGTTGTACTGTTTGGAATATTTGTATATACGTTTCCTTGAGGGGGAGAACTTAAGGGAGAAATCCAAGCGGTCTGATTCCTATTACTCCTATTATTATTTGAATTATTAGAATTATTATTATGGCCCATTTTTTAAATTATTTTTTTATTATTTAGGTTTTTTTTAAGTTTTATTTGTATTATAAATTTTAAAAAATAAGAAAACAAAAAAATTATATTTATTGGCCTAAATATAAAAAAAGCCCCAAATATTTCCCAAAAAAAAAAAAAAATTAAAAAAAAAAAAAAAAAAAAAAAGATATGATAACTGAAAAATAATTTATATTTTCTTATTTACAAAAAATATATAATTATTTATATGGGTATAGTTTTTATTTTTTTTTTTTTTTTTTTTGATATTAAAATTATTTTTAATTTTATTTTTATTTTTATTTTTAATTATAATTAATTTTATTTTTATTTTTTTTTGTTATATGTGAAAATATTTGTGAGAATAACTTATAATATTATAACTAAATGATATTATATTGAAAAAAAAATTATATATAAATAAAATAATTAAAAAAATAATTAAAAAAAAAAATTAAAAATAAAATTATTAAAATAAAATAATTTTTAATTTAAAAAAAAAAAAAAAATAGTGTGTGAGTGGTGTGTGTTATATAATAGAATACTATTTTATATTTTAACTATATAAATATACATTTAAGTTTACATATATATATATACTATTTATATTTTTTTTGTTATTTAAATTATTTTTGATTGATAGTAAATCATATCACACAACATAAATTTAATATCAATACAAATTTAATAATATTTTTTTTTGTTTTTAATTATTATATTATTATAATTTTATATTAAAAAAATACAATCCACGCTTTAATTAATTAATATTAAAAGTGTGTCTGTGTCTATGTGTGTGTGTGTGTTATTATTATTGTATGTTTGATAATATTTCTATGTGTATGTGTGTCTTTGTGTGAGTGTGAGCGAGTGTGTGTTTATTTGGGTGAGATTATATAAATATCAGTGAGTGAGTGTGAGTTGGTGAGAGTGAGTTAGTGAGTGTTAGTGTATATTCTTTTGATTCTATTTAAATTTAATTAATTTTTTAATTTAATTTAATTTAATTTAAAGTTTATTACTATATATATTATTATTTACATTAAAAGTGTCTCTGTGTGCCTTCGTGTGTTATATGTGTAATTATCAATGCTCTTGGCAAAGGAATAGAAATACTGTCAAAATGTGTTGATCTAAAAAAAATAATAAATAAATATTTTTTTTTTTTATTTTTTTTTTTATTGAGTTAAAATTTAATTAAAGCTGATGATGTTCAGTGTATCTCTATATTGATTGAGTGTAACAATATAAAAATAATTAAATTAAAAAAATAAAAAATTTGAAAAAAAAAAAATCTTGGTTTTTTTTTTTTTTTTTTTTTTTTTTTTTTTTTTGGGAAAAAATATTTTTGGTGATTTTCCCAAGGGGAGTAAAAAAAATGTTTTTTTTAAAAGAAACCCAAAGGTTTAATTCTTCAATTTTTTGGCTTTATTAAAAAAAAAAAAAAAAAAAAGGATTAACCAAAAATTATTTATTAAAAAAAAATAAATAATAAAAATAAAAATAAAAATAAAAACAAAATAAATAATAAATGATATGATGATATTTATCTCACTATATTTTATAAAAACTTTCCACATATGTATAATAAAAATAAAAATAAAATAAAAAAAAAGGTTATATTATAAAGGATGCTCAAACACATGCGCATACACACATACATACAAATATTAATTTTTTTATTATTTTTTTATTTTGAATTACTTACACCACAGTTTAATGAACATA